ATATGCTCCAGAGAAAGTCTGCAGATTAGTGCTAGCGGTCTGCATATTGCACAACATCGCTCGATCACGAAGCATCCCCGAAGTGGAAATCTATACTCCCTTTCATGAAGACCCCCGTCAAGAGGATCATGAATCCAATGAGCAAGAAGGCTCTGCAGGCGCAGGACTTAAAGCGAGGAATGAAGTGATCCATAATTTTTTTTCTTGATCAGGGATTTAATGAATTCCAATTTTATGGAAGATGTGAGTGAATTCTATTATTTACCTAGCGTAAAACACAATGTTGCATATTTCAGTATTTCTTTTCACTAAGTAAATATTCTTTTTTTTTCCTGGCAAGTGGACTATCCTCGCACATGCAAAAATAATACAAAATTCAAGCCTTAATCACATCTCTGTATTTCTTTTCTTTTAGCCACATGCAAATATCTCCCCCTCGATGGATTTCAATGCACTCTTGGGATTCATGGAATTATAGAATCCAAAAAGATATTTTTAAAGTAACTGTATAAAGAATATTTAAAACTTTAAGCAAGAGAATATATGCAGGAAATTCATTACGATCTCGATTAATGAGATTTGATTAAAAGGAAATTGATTAAAAAGAAATGGCACACGTATTGTTAATAGGAATAGGACCGACCCGTTTTCAAAAGGTAACAAATTAGCTCTTTCCAGTCTGGCCTAACGAGAGGACAACCTTCTCTAGGTTTATTACGGACCACGAAGTAGACAAACTTCGCTTCTTTGACGAGGACTCACTCTGCCAGTTTTTCCAAGGAATTAGCGATGGCCGTGTGCGTAGCAGAGATGTGCCGCAGTTCGCTCAAAATTTCTTGCTGGATGCCCATCATGGCTTCTGCAGAAGATCCGAATTCACCGGATTTTTCCGTTCGATGGCGTTTCAGTGTTCGTTGAAGGGGTTTCTTGCGTTTCGGGTCTAAGGGATGGGATGAAAATGCCTCGGGGGACATCTCCCTCTCACCTTCATTCCGCCCCTTCTCCAAACTTTCTTTCTCCTCCTCCTCCTTCCCCTCCCTGGATGAGCGAGCCTTTGTGTCACTTCGCGATTGGACTTGAAAATCCTCTCCAGATTGAACTAGGAATATGAAAATGAGTAATCTCGTAGGTGTATCATGCCCCATTTTAGCAAGTCGTGATCTGAGGAAAGAACGAATCGAATCGAACTATCGAAAGAACGTATGAACAAGATATGAGCATATGAGCATATTAAATATTTAATATGAGCATATTAAATATAAAATAGGTATGCCCGTGTTCTTTGACTATCACTCACTGTGAATTGATGGTGAAGATTCTTGCTGGCTGGTATATCCAGTGTCACCGAGGGAAGACGAAACTACCCCAGCAACGCTCGCTACTCCAATTATTGCTATAATTCTTTGACATAAATCAGGCAGTGGGGAAGGTGGTGGTCCACCGCCAGTCTTGCTAGTTTCCCGAAGAAACTGTGCTCCCTTCGCCTTGGCAACCCAGCAACGCTCGCTTCTCCAATTATTGCTATAATTCTTTGACATAAATCAGGCAGTGGGGAAGGTGGTGGTCCACCGCCAGTCTTGCTAGTTTCCCGAAGAAACTGTGCTCCCTTCGCCTTGGCACTTGACTTCAAGTCCATAAATTTTTTTTTTACCTCATCGGCAGATCGCCGCACAGAGGAGACACAGCTCACTGCTTCAGCCACCAAATCCCATCCCTGCAGTTTCATTTTAGTCGTGACGCTTGCGCTGAATTTCCCGTCGTTCTGTAAGAAAGAAGCGAGCTGAAGAAGCTGCTCGTGGGGTTAAAGAAGTGAACACTTTAAGCCAGCAGCTGGTGAGAAACGAGGTGAGAGGTACTATGGTTTCAACTCTGACCCAGGTCTTCTTATCCTTTGGCATTTCTGAAACCTTGAGGTAGTTTGTTTTACGATAAGATTCTGCGGTACACCCTTTTAGGGTGTTTTCGAAGATTCGGCAGGACCTCTAATAATGTTAAAACTTCCGGTAAGGGCAAAAACAATGGCACGGAATACGCAGGAAGTTTGCAGAAGGCTCTTGTGACATGGGACCCGTGAGTCATGTTGTCAGCGTGACAAGCACGTGGTGTTTCACTCAGCGATTGGTTTGCCAGTTTCCGAGGTCAGTTATGATTGGTTGACTCATTATCATAGCTACGAAGTTTCGTGAATACCGACAGAGTTCGTAAGAATGAAACGAGGACTTACGAAGTTTCGTGAATACCAAAGATACGAAGTTCGTACGAAGTTCGTAAGAATATCGCATTCTTACGAAGTTTTCGTGAATACGGCCCCTGGTTCTGGTCCATCGTCCTGGGTACTTTCCTCGGTCGGAGATTTCACAGGCGTAGGATAGTCCGACTTCTTTGCTCCGGCACCTGTATCGGCTTCGGATTTTCTTCACAGATCAGCTGCACGACGATGAGGTCGTTGGGTGTAAGGATTTCCGGGGGACCCCCCCTGTCCCGCTCAGGTACTTTTTGCATTTGTTCTTCACCCTACTTTGAGCATTGCTCCATTTGTTCTTGAGCCGTTCCACCGTCATCTGCAACCCAGTGAGGGGGTTGAAATGAATCACCGATGGTCTTCCAGGCGGCTTCTTTGCGTTCCTTAACGCCGGGAAGTTGACTCTTATTCAGAGCGGCCTTGTTCTTCGCCATCACGGTGAGGAAAGTTTGTTCGTGGTGAGGGGGCGTGACGTTATTATGCAGCGTGGAAGTGATAGGTGTTGGCAGAACTAAAGATAAAAATAGTTTACATTTCGGATCAAACCACGACAATCGGAATTCAAGCACTAATTTAATATACAGGGTCAGAAAAAAAAACCATTGAATCAGCACACGGCATTCTCGTCAGTCATAATGCGATTAGGCATAAGCACGGCCGTTGTTGATGGGCGCGAAAGCCGATGAATAGGACGTTGGCATCTAGAAGAATCGCGAATACCTATCATGATAGGTATCTGATACCTATCAAAATAGGTCTATTAATCGTTCTTGCATATGGAACCTAATAAATTACAGACCTATCGCCTGACACCTATCATGATAGCTACTATGTAATAGGCTATCAAGTGATAGATTCTTGCATACCGGCCATAATCCCTCCCGACTTCCTCCTTTGAGGATATCTCAAAAGGATAGTTGGGCTGTTTGCCCGAGTACATACTCGGGCTTATGCAGTGGTAGCATGGGAAAGTTTTCGGGCTCAGAACATTCACTGTTTCTAGGTTACTTCACAACTATTTATACATGTAACAGCTATCTTCAATAGTTATCATGATATGAAATTATCTTACATAAACTATTGTTTTTAAACAAGTAGGGCCAATTTTTATACGAAAACGTATCAGCCACCCCCCCTGTGTTATAACAGTCGAAGGGTAAATAAGGAAGACCTTCAAAAGTTTGAAGCCTATATTCGCCAGGTGGAGGTTGCCATTTTACCTGATATATTCACTCGTGCGTTCTCGATGCGCAATTGCGCAAAACTGTGCCAACTGATGAACATTTCCAACACTCCTTTAAATAGAATAACGTTTAAAAAAAAAACATTCTGTGGACATTGAAAACATTCAAAAAAGGCTCTCACTCGAAAATTACTACATGAACAAGCTGCACAAGTTTTATTGACAGACAGTCTCATAAGCATTAAATCAAGGTAAACGAAACCCAGTTTTTGCGTTAAAAATTTTCATACGTTCAGGAATCAAGGTGGATTGAGAGTGAAACTGATTCGGGAGTCGCGGGAGTGGGACGGAGGTGGTCAGGGAAGGATGGAAACGGGACGAGGAATGCGTGCTGGCAAGATCGGGCCAATCTTGGTCGATTGTCAGCGAAGAGAGGACATGCAATGCGGAGTGCAAGTGATCTGTCAATGTTGGTAAAACGTCAGTAGGAAGTGCATGCAGGTGTGCAAGGTATGCGCAGGTTATGCGTATAGCCAATCAAGGTTGAGCCAACGTCGGTAAAGAGGCGGAATATGGTTTCACGATGCGAAATAATGGTGACCTGTTCATATTAACCCCTAAACTGCTGAGTAAGTAACGTAAGTAGCATGCAACCTGAACCCTGTGTACTGCCATTAGACCTACCATATGCCGAGAATTTGCGGGCTCGAAGGGAAAGTTATCGAAACATCAATAGGAAGTTTTGTATACTGCATTAAGGCAGAAAACAGCCTTCCTGTGTGCCACTATATCTAGTAAAACGTGCGCGAAAATTTCTCGTTCAAATAGTTGTTAGACCACGTAGTTCGCTCTTCTGTCCATAGATGGTAGCTGTATGAACTTTTCCTTGTTCTCGAACGCGTGTTGGTCGGTCACATGCGCTGTCTTTTATAATTTTTTTAGACCCTAAGAAAAATTGCGAAGCGAGGGACACCTGATCACATGCAGGATGGTGATTACGAACGTGTTAAGCTGAAATTGTAAAAAAGTTCACGAGAGGCGAGACTTTTGATGCTGGGACTATTAGCGAAAGGGAAATCGATTTATCGCGAGATTTCGCTTACATAGAGAAAAACCAAATGGTCCTGTGATCCCTTAAGCTACATTGAAAGACTGTATTGCACCCGAAATTCAGCACCATCTCCCCATACAATTTTCGATGTTAATGTATTGTAACTTACCGTGCGACGTCGCACTGACGTAGCACGTAAAGTTCTGACTCGTAAACCTATGCGGCCAGTGGAAGACGACTTGGGAATCTTTCTTAGGGCGTGGACGACTTGTGATCCTTGGGCTGTGACCATAGAGCGTATATATATATAGACTGAAGGGGCACATACCATGCAGCGAAGCAAGCAGAGACTGTCGTCGCGGCTGCCATCGCGGGATCGGAGAAGCACTCATCTTCCATCTGATTCTATTGCGAAATTCTGTTCGATAAAGCTGGCATCATGCTCTAAATTTTATCACTCGTGATACAGCTTGCCTCAGGTGGTCGTTTGTGATCTTAGTCTGCAGGCTTTGAATCTAGGCTAGTTAGGTACTAGGCGAAACTGTAGACCGTTCCGTTGGTCTCTCTGCTTGGATTGTCATTTTGCAGTATCTGAGGTTTCCTTCACTCAACCTTGAGGCATTACAATGCGCTCGACCCTTGGAAAGGCCTAACACTTCATCTACAATACATTCTAGCCTAAAAAAAAAACAATAGTCTTTCTATTTAATTTGGAATTATCGCGTATGAGTAAAGCCAACTGCCTAATTTCATTTTACAAGTAGACTTGTCTCTTTTGTCGTTTTAAAATTGATTCCAATGAGCACTTTGAAAATTGTTTGAAATATGCCATTACTTTTGTTTTGTTTCTGAACATTTTTTCACATGCCTTCTTAGCTGGGTGGCGGGATTCAAAAGAGACCCTTAAGCCAGTTTTTCCTGGAATATATGATTAAGTTCTACATAGCTCTTTCGACAAGACCAAGGCCGAATTGTTTTGGGAATGTTGAGGTTGTCTGCAATCATCCGAACACTTAACCGACGGTCAGAATTCAGCTCAGCACGCACACGGGCCACATTGTCGTCGGTTGTGCTGGTTGACGGCCGTCCACTGCGGGGTTCATCGGAAACCTCTTCCCGACCATCCTTGAACGCTTTCAACCACCTCGAAACTTGCGAATACGAAAGAGCATTGTCCCCGTAAGCTTGCTTAATCATTTGGTAAGTCTCCGCAAGAGATTTGTTCAATAGTGAACAAAACTTTATCGAGTAACGTTGCTCGAGTGACGATTCCATCGCGTTTCGTGACACACATACTAAACAGGGATGCACGGGAACAGCGATCCTGGAGCTCCAACTGCTCGAAGCAGACTGGTGCAGGTATCGCTTTAAAGCTGAAAGCCCCCCCACCTAATCCAACCGGCCGAAACGCTGTGCGGCCATTTTTACTACCTGCCCAAAAAAAATTGCATTACTTTCTGGACATACCCTGTATATGCATGCATGTAGTTGGACCATGGTGCTACAGGGCTATTTGTGCTATGGATGGTCAGCTAATGGAATGTTCATGTGCTGTGGTGCATCACTGGGAATCAGTCCATAACTGGGCATTTCACACAATATAAATCTCAATTAATCCATTTTTTCCCCTCAACTATGTGATGTATCTCTTGCATGAAAACTATTAAAACTACAAGTTTACAAAACCTTTCATTTCCCCAAACAAACAAAATGAGTAATGTTACAAGTTTCAGGTTGGTATAGTTTGAAAGCTAATCTCAACCAGAGCTTATTCTGTTTATTTAGGATTTTTAAGTAAGGATAGCCCAGGATCAGGTGAATGGCCTTCCATGAAGTGCATGACATTGGATGGACAAAGTTTTATGAACATAACATGTTGACTTGACAAGTTTTGCTGATCTGTCCTTCCACAAATCCTCTCTCTCTCTCCCTGAGAGAGACAGGATTTGTGGAAACATCTATGTCACTGGATTAAAACTCAATTACCAGCCAAAATTGTAAACAGAACATTTTTTCTTTAGGTCCATTACTATATGCCTAAAGCAAACCTAAGCATTTCATCACCCTTGACTATTTATCTAACAAATCTTGGAGAGAAAAAAAAAATAAAAACAGGATAAGTTCTGCTTGAGATAAGTTGTCAAATGTACAAACCAGAGACTTGGAAAACTACAGGTTCTGTTTGTAATGCAGGAACAAAAAATTTTTTTACAAGCCCCAGGTAAACTACTTAAGTATTGGTACACTATCACCTCCCTATCCTATGATGCTCTGAAGCAAACAGGTTTCCTAGTGTAACCAACTTTCACGTTTTATGCAGCATGACTCTAGAGAGGTAGTTTTACTCTGAAACCACTTTGGTTGCTTGATTGGTGCAACAGCTGACTAAAGAAACAAAAAACATGAAGGTTTGTTAACAAGTAAGAAAAATCTATTAGTTTGATTTTAAGAATGCAAGGGACAATAAACTAGTGAATATAAGCTGAGTTTCAATGCATTTTATACTGCTAGATGCTTGAAAAAATTTCAAAATATACTTGATTTTAATTGACTTTGAAAGAGTGATCTGAGACTTTCCTTTCTGGTTCTATCTTGAAGCCTCCAATTCAAAGACTTTCACAAGTTATGAAAGGGAGCCCACCATAAGAAGCAGTGATTTTAAGGAGAAACCACTAGTGCACACCAGAGTTGCATTAAAAAATTGTTAACAGTGAATTCATGTTTCTATGAGGTGTCAATTAACTCTACTAATATTCTTAAACTCAAAATTACATATGCTTAAGTAAATTGCAGTGCAATGGAAGAAAGCAAGGTATATTTCCCAACCAAATAGTAAGTCCATCATTATGTGACTCTTCCCTACATTTATATGAATTAAGAATGCAGAAAGCTGCAGATTTCATTAATAAAAACTATGATACTGGAGATGTGCAGTATTTAACTCCATGACTCCTGGCCCTTGGTATTAAAGAAATTGCAAGACAGGGATATCATTGATGAACTTCCTCACAGAATGGAAAAAAAAAACTGTCTCAATAAATCAACATTAATGTAGTGAACCTCTGCATATTTATCTTCAAGCAATTTTTTTGGCTTCAAACTGAGATTTATTAGATAATGCTGTTTTGTTGCTGTTACTATTGGCTATCTGTGGATACACAATCACATTCTCATCATGATCTCCATTACAGATCTGCTTTTCTAATTGCTTTTCTATTAAAGAGAGACAAAATCACACCAAAAAATATGGACAAATGTACAGCCCAAATGACATGAATGTGACAGTTGAAAAATTGAACATAAGTCACTCACATAATTCATCAGGTGAAGCTGTTTCTTGGTAATCCTTCCAGCTTCTTGCAGTCTCATATGAATCCCTACAGACAGTATATATACAATATTTCCATTAAATATTATCTTAATGACCATAAGGCATTACTGGCTTTGGATATTCAATCATAATAGTAAAATTTTCTTCTATTATTTGATGTACCTACTAGCTATACTCAGGCCATTCCATTTTAGTTACTTTTACTGGCCTTCATATTGGGTCAATCTTTTTGTTATGTTGAGATTGACTCTATTCTGCCATAGGATTTGCCATAGGATGCAGGGCCAGATTAAGAAGTTGTGAGGCCTGGGGCAAGTGAATTCCTGGGGGGGGGGCTCCATGGGCCCCCCCCCCCCCCCTACATTACACAAAATACTTAACATTTTTAATTTCCTTCGGGGAGCCCCTGGAAGAGTGGGGCCCAGGGAAACAGCCCCCTTTGCCCCCCCCCCCTTAATCCAGCCCTGATAGGATAACTAATAAAACATTGAGTGTCTGACATGAAAGAAAGAAATTATGATTCCCCAAGTCATCTTCACTGACATGAATATTGCTAAAAGATGCAACCATATTGAAACTGTCCTCCTACTTGTATTCCAAAAATCTGGTCTGTCAACACTGGTGTAAAGTATCAGGCTCAAAGAAAGAAGTCTGATTGCTTTCAAAAGCTGACCTTTCAAGATATATGAGAGTAGTGAGAATGTTATGCTTGAGTTTTGTATGTGTTTCAAAAGCAACAGAATGAAGGGATGGGATAGGTGCTATGAGGGTGAATGGTGTCAAGAAAAAAAAAAAATGAATCTGGAATATTGTGTACCAGCAAGACTCTTGAATTGCCTGTGTCTAGTAATGCTGGCAGCAGTACCAGTCAGTAACTGTCAATCAATGAAATGCTGTTGTATCATTAACAATATTACATGTGACTTTTGCATCCTGACCCATGATACATGTCACAAATTTGCTGAGATCTATATTTTTCAGCAAGACCTCAATTTCTACTAAATAGATGAGGATGAACAAGTTAAAAAGGATTGTGAAATATATATCAACAAACCTGGATGAAGACAGAACTGAAGGGATGTCTTTAGGCCATCGTCTCTCCAGCAACACAACTCCTTCTTCCTCATCAGTATAGACTAATTCAACAACAGACCCACAAGATCTGAGCGAGGAGAGGCTTGATGAAAAAGCTCCTTCACCCTCAGGGAAAATGCTGGAGGAAATGCTATGAAAGTTGTTTAGGGGCTTGATGAAAGCCCGATTGAATTCCCCATCTGAGGTTTGAAAATCCACTTTGGCCTTCAGGCAACTTCCACCGTGCAGCATGTCGGGGTCTGTCTTGTCTTGCTGGCATTGCACTGACTCATCTTCCACAATGGTCACATTCATAGATCCTAGAGTGCATGTTGAATCTCCAGTCATATCCTGCACACATATTGATAAGTTAATTTGAAAAAAGAAAACAGTGATGAGGAGAGAAAAGAGATGAGAATGTGACCTGTGATGTAAGAATGTGACATGAAGCATGGGTAAGAGAGGAAGTGCTTCCATGCCATGACTGCACAGTCTTCACAGGCAACACCTTACCTGCAATACAAGAGATCAAGGACTATTGTATCAAAGGACTGATAATAGCATATCAGAAATAAGGGGAAATCCATCCAGTAATTTCATGAGGAGTTGACATAATCAGAAAGTGAGGAGGGAGAACAGACACTAGCCTAGCATTTTCAAATAACAGTGAAATGTACAAATAATAGCATGGGCATCCAGATGTATCCAAATGAGTATATGAGGATAAATTAAATTTAAAAATTAATTTCAATTGAAAAGCAATTTACATGTATACTAAACCAAATTAATGTTTATTTCTTCAAATAAAGTATTGTCTGTGATCACATAAAAGCTTTTAGGTTCACCCATGTATTGAAGAAATTTTTGCTATCTCAGACTTTCTTTCTTTGATTTTTATTACTTATGTACTTGCATGCAAGGGCACATACTAACATGATGCCAGCACTAAAATTATTAATGTGCAGTCTTTCCTATAGTCATTAATATGCCAGTGCTAACATCATGCCAATCAAGGCTTCTCCATTCAACCGATCATCTCTCCTCTCAATAAAAAGCAAGTATAAGGATTGAAGAACACACTAAATCGAAGTTGGGTGAGAGAGTCCCATGAATCTTCTTCCTGGAGCTTAAATTGTGCCTGTTGCTGGAGGAGATAGATAACACGAGGCTGGTCCTTGGCATATGTGAATGCATCACATTCTTCATTATCTCGGATCCATGGATTTCCCCCATTGCGCAACAGAAGGTCCACAATCCATTCCCGTCCTTGAATGACTCCAATGTGAACAGGAGTCAGTCCTTCTTCTGATCTGTCAAGCGAATTAGCTTAAATTAACATATTTTTCACTGTAGGTAGTACAATAAATAAATAAATAATTATGTAATTTCAAGCAGAGCAGGTTACTTCATCAGCACTGTTACTTGCTATGAAATAATGATAGGAAGTCAACCTGTACATCACAAATAATTCCACATCAACTGGAAACAATGAAACATCAATTTTAAAAATGATTTAATCAAATAATGTCTATTTCTTTTTTCTTTTCTAATTTATTGCCACTACTATATGCATTCAGCTGTATTATCTAAGGCTCCCAATTCAAATAGATAAACTGACAGAGTTACTCTTTAATCATGATTAATGAAGTACTGCTACCCAATTCTCTTTTCGATTGGATCCTACCAGGGTGATTCAGCTTGTCATTGTCAGTAAAAATGAGGAGCAAAAAACCTAAAAATTATGATTAGGTGGGAAGGATTGGTAGATCTACAATGCTTATATCATATTATTCTATGATTATCACATTCTCATCTGACAGATTACAGCATACCAATGACCAAATGATTTCACCTTCTTAATTTATATTTCTTCCAGCAGATTCTAAGAGTTATAGATAGATTACCACCTGATCAATCATCCACTCTCTTCCCAGCATATGATTAATTATATTAACATTTTAAACCAATAAGCAGCCATAGTATCAACTATTACCTATAGGTGCTGATAGCATGTGAATGGTTAAACAAATTATAATACAGGAAACAATAACAAATAACAATTGCAGCCTCCCTACAGATGTAACTGAAATGGTCAGAGAAATTAAACCAAGTCCCATTTAATCAACTAAATTTAATGTTTTTCATGAAAAATGAAGCAGAGGCATTCAGCAGCAGCACAAACTGCTTTAAGATGGAGTAAACTATCCAAGATCTGGTGATGAAATTAGCTTTTGCATCTCAAGCAATAAGGAATGTGACTGCTATTGCACAATGCATAAATCTCAGTGCCTCTCCATGACAAAGCAAATAAGACATTTCATCAGAAACAAAGAGAAAAAAAAAGCAGTAAAACAAGCTTTCATTTTGGCATATAAGACAATTCACACTGCCATTTTGTCTCCAGTGGAGGTGGCAATCATTGTCTGACACCCTGGATATAGGATGCCAAAGGTATACAACTCTTACCAAGGAACTTGAACATTTGGAATATTTAATCTATTTATGTGCTAGGTTGTATTGAAATCACACATGTCCATAGAGTTATTGCTAGCAGATGCCAACAGGGATGAATCAGGGCTAAGTTGCAGTAATGGAAGTAAAATGTTGGAATGAAAAAATGTCAAATTTGACACCTTACTATGTCAAAGAAATGGAGCAACACAAAACAATGAAAGAAGAAATCAAGCAATGATTTCAAGAATAAAGATGCAAAGTGCATTAGATGCCACAGCTACTTTTCTCATAACACAATTTCTTTGTTTCAAGGGGGAGCAGCAAGAATACCAGTGCCCCTAGAGCCAAGATTCTGATAGAAGCTTAAAAAGATTTATGCATATGTCAAAGTCATACAAAAATTATGAATGTGAATGTTTGATGACCAACTTTATGTTTGGATCACCACCATGGGTTAGAAGAGTCTTCATGATTTCCAGGCCTGAGTCACCAGGAATCCCAGCAGCCAGATGCATAGCTGACACTCCTCCTTTTTCCTCCACCAAATGATTTACATCTGCTCCCAGTCTCAGGATTGCCTGCACACACCTACAAATCAAATTGACAGATACTAATGCATTATGTGAAACTCCTTGCTTCCCTAGGAAACCAGGTCTGGCCCCACTCAAGATATGGACACAAATTGGTTCAAATACAATAACATTTTGGCAAAAAAGTAAAAGCAAGTGATACAAAATGTAGGAGTTTAAGATGTAGTATGTCAAAAAAGTGCAAAACTGGATAATTAGGTGCATAAATGACATTTGAGATGTGTGGACAGAAAATCTTTCTATATAAAACACATTTTAAAACTTTTTTTTGCAGAAAGATCTCTCCAACAGACTGACAGTGACTTTTTCACACATTTGCTGCCATCCCCTGAAGGTCCCAACCAACACTTGCCAGAAATCATTAGGATTTCTCCATAAACATCTTACTTGAAATTTTCAAGAAAAATCAGAGTCCATGATATAAACCTGAAGGGATGTGTAAAAACTATGCACAATATATCCTTTTGTTTGACAAGGCAACTAACTGGCATTATGAGCTAGATTTAGTTAAATAGACCTGGTGATGAATGTGTTAAGTTCTTCCATAAACCCCTTCAATCTATGTATGGAAAAATTAACTAATCATAGGAAATCTTATCCTTAAGCACAGCATATGTGACAAGGACAAAATTATACAATACTCACCATAAGTCCTTCTCCAGAATAGCCTGGCATAATTGCTCAGCGAAGATTGTCTTCACCACAGACGGCATCACTGACAGACAAAAACTTGGCACAAAGGTCTATGTGGATCTCACAAATTCTTCTTCACTACCAACAGAATCCCCCCACAAACTTTATTGCAGCTATTGCATCCATGTTTTCCATGGAGATGGTCAGCATCAGGGACTGCCAATCAAGCATCAGAAGTCTGAGAATACTGGTCCTGAATGAAGCCCTAATAATCACTAGCAGAAAATGAAATGTCACAGGATGAGAAATAAAAACTGAAGAAAAAACACCTGCATGAGTAAAGAGTCCTCATGAAATGGAGGTGCAGAAGCATGCATATTTTCATAAGATATATAGTCAAATTCAGTTATAATGAAACCTCATTTATAATGATGAAAAGTGCCAGGTCCCGGTGTAGAGCCCATAAGGCACGTTACATTTTACCTCAGTTGTAGTGAGAACCTTGGTTATAACGAAGTCCATTGAAGGTCCACTGACGAAATTGACAATGTTGATGTCCTTAACCCATCATTCTTAACTGGAATTCCCATCATAGGAGAAATGAGCGTTGGCAAGCCATAACGTTATCTTTCCTGGAATCAGCATTCCTTGAGTCATGTGGGTGTGACTGAAGGAAGGTGAGAGAGGGATAATCCCCAGTAACTAACAAGATCATCTTATCTTCAGTTGCCATTACATTTCTTGTTGACAACATGGCCAGTGGAAAGCGAAAGAGGTAAGCCTTCACAATTGAAAGTGTGCATGATTAATTTATTAGAAAGTGCTCAAAGTAAAGACAAAGTTCCCCTCAAATAGCATGGACACATGTTCATCTGTTTCTACAATTTGGGATAATCATGACATTGTGCTTACGAGAAAATGTCACAAAACAAGAAACATTGGTGATCTGTCGAGATGACGTTGACAAGGCCTTGCTCAAGTATAAAGTAGTTCAAGGTCCAAAGAAGTGGGAACATTATGATTCTTGGATCAATCCTGAAACTGAAGCTAGTGTGGCATTATCAATGTTCACTGGAGTTGTAATGTTATATAGCCAACCTCTGTTATAACGACAATTTTTCCCTGGTCCCTTCAATGATGTTCTATTGTAGTCTAATGCATTCAAAAAGTCATGACCAATGCAACATAGCTCCTTTACCATTACATGAATGCTATAAAATGACAAATGCTTTAATAGCAATATTTCTTCCATATCTGTGTGGAACTTCATATTCTCATCTAATATTGTTGTTTCCAGACTTTTGAAATACAGGTGGTTGAAACAACTGAGTGATTGTTGATTATCCAATAAGGGAATGAAAGGGGAGTTGTTTGTATTCTCACTTATGCAGCCAATAATCCTGACAATTCAAAAGCATTTGAAAGAAGTTTGTAATGATGTTCCCTCAGTGACCAACACTTCTTGAAAGTACCTTGTACATCAGTATCTCATATTTCTCCAAGCCCAAAATGAGAAGATTAAATTGAAATTGCTTCAAAAGGAAACAGGATTGAAATGTATCAAAGAAGAGGAACTGATGAAAAAAAATTTTGAATGCCAAATGATGGAACATTCCTGTCCAAGCTGACTGAGAGGCAGTCAACTATGCTGACATTTTTGTCTTTCCGCAAACTCAATTGCAAGGGAAAGCAAGGTAACTGATCACTGAATGAATACAACACTCCTCAAAATAGTTTATTTAATGCCAGTCACACACACAGGTGGCATGGAGTTGCATGGCTACACTCTTATGTTGTTTTCCTATACCTTGTGGCAGAAAGCACCATTCCCAAGACAGGTCCCTGTGCAACAGAGTAATGCCTTTCTTTGGTCCAATCACCAGCTGCTGCCTCAAGTGGCCGAGAATCCAACAAAATGGAGGGATCAAATATTCTAAAAACTGGCAAAAAATATGGCACACAGGGGAGAGAAATTCAGTATGTAACTTTGTACATGTCAAAAGGAGGATTCACATCACATGACATTCAGATCCAATCACTTGCTCTCCTACCCCAATCACAGTTCATAGTTTAATTATCATTCAGACATAACTCTTCAGAAGCAAAAAATTATGCAGGTGTTAACTGTAAACATCACCCCAAAACCAGAAACTTCCCCCACCAATTAGATTCATTCACATTTTTCTTTGGAAGACCAGGGTATCATTCATCGGCCTCAAACATAAATCCTGCAACCTCCATGCAAGCACTATCATTACAGACTCATTCTGAGATAGATTGAGAAATAAGATTGACCCACAGAAGATAGGGGTTAATCTTCATCATTTCATTTGTACATATGAACAGATACCCATGATACCAATAGCTGAATGAATGAACTGAGAAGATTTCTTAACACAAAAAGCCATGAATGTGGCATACATAAGGTGTTCACTTAGCCTCACAAATCCAGCAATGGTACTGTAAATAGAACTATTTAGTATTTCTTCTAGAAACAATATATCTAGATTGGCCAAACACAAAGTTCTCTTCTTGTGCTTGGTCATCTGGCTCTTTATAATATTTGTAATTCAACCCTCTGGATGAAGTCATGGGACTTGCTCTTGCTTGAGGGAACCTGAAGTTCTTCAGACAGTAACAAGTCAGGATGAATGAGATACATCCAAAAATCCCACTATTTTCTTTCTTGCTTTTTGAAGGAATTGAGGTGTCTGGAACCAGTCTCAAGGATACAATTTTGTTCTTTTCTGGGGGAACTTCAAATTTGCTAAATATTGAATGGGACATTTGGCAGGTCCAGGCCCCAAGAGTCTAAGTAGGATAGCACACTTTTACAGGGGCCACTGCTGGAGTTGCAGGATTAAATGAACACTAAGGGATGTAGTCATTTCAATGGAGGTCAGGAATCACACTAAGGTATAACAACATGATGCACAAGGCATTTCCATGGGCATGCCTTGAGAGAACAGAAAAAGAACTCATATGGATGGTGAGAAACCAACAGCACCCTCAACCTCAGCAGAGTTGTCTGTTGATGATGAACACCCAGTGTCATCTGCTGCAGTGGAAGCTGAACTATACACTAGAGCTGAGTTTGCAGCAGTTTGAATATTTCTAACTCCTAGATGCCGGATGCATTCCTGGATATGAGCGTCAATTTCCTCCTGTGACAACTGTCCCTCATTGGCCATCTGCAAAGTGAGATTCTGAATGCTGTTCTGAAATTGAACCCAGTCAGTTTTATCTTCCCCTGCACCACTGCTGACAGAGTCAAACCCTTCATCTTCATCCTCAACATCACTTGATACAGTGCTGCTGATTGCAGGTGAAGACAAATGACTCAGCCCTTCAAGTGTTTCCAAATCAAATTGATACGTTGTTCTATCGCCAGAGTCCAACCTCACACGGCGAGAACTCAAGCCTTCTTCGGCAAACTTTCGCCGAGCATGGATGCGTTCTGAGATGCATTCTAAATTCTGTAAAGAATCAGCATATTTCTGCTTTGCAACAGTCACTGCTGTCTGCAATTGCTGGATCTTCTGCTTCTGTTGCTGCAACTGCCGTTCCAGAGATTCCTTGTGCTCAAAGTATGGCTTGGATTTGACAATGTGGCGCTTGAGGCGTCCCTCCAGATGCTGCACCTTTCGCTCTGCTTGCGTGAAGAATGATGCAGTTTCTTGATGCTCCCGCTGAGATGCAGCACGTTGTTTTTCAGCCTCCATCACCTTCATAGTGGCATGATTCAGCATCTCCTGCCAAGCAGAATCAAAATCCCAGCTCCCTTTCTGGGAAAGGAAACGCTCCTCAGCCAAGGAGATGGTCTCCTTTGCAGCCTGATGGATCCCATTGGCACGCTGGAACTGAATAGCTGCTTTCTGGCATTCCATCTGTGCCTTCTTAGCAACATCCTTTGCCTTATAATATGGACGTGCCTTCTCAATACAGGAGCCCAACTTTGATGACAAATAGCGGAGATGCTGTGTTGATTCAGATAAGATTTGACGGAATGCAGCATTTGCATCATCCAATTCCATCTCAAGTCGATTGATCTCATCTGTGCAAGAATTGAGGTTCTCCAGTTCAATACGGACCCCTGGATCAAGTTCCTCCTCTTCCAGAGGTCCCATCACGTTCACATGCACATTCTCCATGGCAATCACTATCGAGACACAGATGCTTGCTCACGCAGCCATAACTGTTCACAGAGAATATTCAATGGATGAGCAATAATGTCCAGATCTGAGCTCCAAGCAGAAGGGATATTCCGAACAGGGAACACAGGAACCTTCCACTTCCCCTCAAAGTCTTTTATGTCTCGCTGAGTCACTTCCAAGTTGGGTGAATCAAATCTAGAAGGATTTAAATTGGAAATCAATGTGACCATCATGTCTATAAAACTGTTGCAACCACATACTATACTCTGTCAATCATAACATGAAAACCTAAGCACTCATTGAAGGCATAGCATTAGCAGTAAGAAGAATCTAACAGTGCAGCTCAATATAAAAAGGTAATCTACAGAATTGGATGAATTTCATGAGTGATACCAGTGTCCATAAATTGGAGCAAAGAGTACGGTATTACAGAACTTCACAGAAGTCTTACTTTATACTTGATTCTGTTATGACTCAGTCACCATTCACTTGAAACTAACTGGATGAAAAGCCATACCTGGTACCAAAGACAATCACAACAGGCTTTCTATTAGGTTCTACAGTCTTGGACATCAAATGAGGAAGCTCCTTCAGGGAAGCAGAGTCAGTCATAGAGAAGACAAACACAATCCCATCTGCATCTTTCTTGCACTCCTACAAGACAAGACACAATGTCACTCACTCAACTGGTCATTCCAAGCATATGATAATGATCACTCTATGGATGGAGATCCACTGACAGGGAGAACATGATCATATCGCCTGGCTGCAGTCTCCCCAGCATCCCAAAATGCTAGTTGAAATATTCGGACTCGATGTCGCAGTTTCACAGGCCAGAATGTGGTTGTCAGAGCAATTCCTGGGGTCTCCTCATGTCCAGAAGGTAGGGGTCGGCCACAGAGCCTGGCAATTGTTGCAGTCTTCCCAATCCCAACTTTCCCAACAACAAATACCTTGTAGGAATAAGCATCCAAGTGAGGAGGTACTGTGGGCTCTTCAAGTAAACCTGTTGATATTGCAAGCCATTCAATTAGCACTCCTGCTATAAACATGTAAATGATGTGAAGCTATGAAAACAGAGGCCATGAGAAGCCATGACATTTCAATATTAAATTACACAAAAAAAAAGTTTAAGTGCTTAAAAGAACACCTTGTGAATTGAAATGGGATTTCAAATTCTTCATTTCACCAAAAAGTAAGATATAACTTTACCTACCAAATCCCTTTCGGCAGTTGTCCCGGGAGTCAGTGAAGCTCTTGAGGATGTTAGAGCCTTCTGGTGTCTTATGCCAGTCAGCCTGGCAGAGTTCCCCAAACCTCATTCCACAGTATCCTCCTCATTGACTATGCTTGTGCAATCATCACACCTGATAGCAACAACAACACTGTACACAAAATTCAACCAAAAGATAGCATATTTTAGTAAGTCTTTGAAAATAATTGCTCAAGAAAAGCACAACACACTCATACAGAAAATGCTCAGTCAAGCAGAATGGAGAACCATCCTTGCCAGGACATGGCTGGCAGACGCAACAGGACAAAATGAGATTTAAAAAAAAAGAATAGTGCCTAATAAACCACAAGTGTTTAAGGGATTCATTCATACTCCAGGAGTCTATAAAATTGGTATGAGGCTAAAGGGTTGAAAAGGTTTAAAGGGTTCCCTTGGTTTCACCATCAAACTTCATTTGGCTCAAGAATACCATTCATTCCCAGCCATTCCTACCTATTATGTATACCTACCCTGTAACAATCAGACCCACAATAGAAACTGCACCAACATGGATACTTGGATATCAGCAATGCTTAACTAGCAAAGTTACTTGCTCATTTGCAGATATCACTGAAGGGAGCTGGAAACTTAATAACAACTTGAGCTGAATTAATGCAGTTCTAACAGAATAGAGTACAGAACAGACTAAAGTCAAAACCATTAAAGTAACACCCTTCCCATGGATTAGGATTTTTGAACAAAATATCACATAACACAACCTGATATTTCACCCTGTTCATTTGAATAACCATTTATTGCACCAAAACGCATGCAGCTATAATATGACTACACCCATTTTGATGATCACAGAGCTGTGGAAAAATTCTACATCAAAATATTATCATTTACTATGATGAAGATATAGCCTAGAAGGAGGATATAGGCTATGTAACATAGCCTCTGGGATCTCTGCCCTATTTTCCACACCATAGTTACACTTTCTCCAAAAGAAAGAAATTAATCATTTAAAATAGACAAAAGCCATCCGGTAGCCTATTATAAGCTTTCATACTCAATTAGGCAAAGATACACTGGAGATGAAATCAAATCTGTTCCCTTTAGTGAACTGTTGGGAATTGCAAAAGTAATTAGCTATGTATAGTGAGGCCTTTGCCAAAAAGAATGGTGATTCCTCTCTGCAAGAACATAATGTCAAGCTCCAGACAAACAACATAGGAATGCATTCTTCCATTCAGGGTAGTGATCAGTTGAATAGGGTGGTATTCAACTGCACCACAAGTTTCCCACTTGCCACTCATTTTCCTGTCCTTTATTGCAAAGAAAAAAACAGTCCATAAGTACCAAAAAATTAAGGTGGATCAATGCCAGCACAATTCATAAATTAAATAAACAACCATAGCAAAAATGCATTAGTCTGTTACCCTAGGAAAAAAAAAAAAAAAATTCCAGTATATAAATTAAGAAAAGTGTGCTTGAGATTAAGCCAAGGATCACAGCCCATATGAGGTGAAGGAGTATCAAGTGTTCTGTTCCAAAGCAGACCACCGAGATTTCACTTCATTTGTGGAAGCTCCCAGGACCTTTCTCCGTTCTTCTGCATTCTGATAATAGTCTTTGAGGAAGTTGGTCATGCCATCGTACTCATTTGGTCGTTGATTCAGGTAAGCCTCGGGCACTTCCACACCCAGGAGTTCAGGAACCATATATGGCTAAATATATGGAATGATCAAAATGACTCGGATCTAAAACACAATACTCACAGGCAGCATATAGCAAGCAAGCTATTACAACAGGCAATAAGATGATGGTAATATGTACAGTGCTGTTCACTTAAATTTATTCTATATCCAATTATGATGAATTGACAAAAGGATAAAAATCAAGCTGTTGCTTAAGTAATTGGTCAATGAGGAAAGACAAATGCCACCAGAACACAGGAGTCTCACCTTAAGCCATCCTACAAGTGGAGTATATCCAGCAGTGTAATGGGTCTGCTTGTGATAAAAAAGGAGGCCATCCAGTTCTCCTGGGAAGGGAACAGGCTGAGCAAGGACTTGACGGATCTCCTCTTTCCCACAGGAGTACCAATTCAATGGCCTAAACCGGTACCTGTTGGCATTAGTGAGTTCTTGCAGCTCAGGGATTTCAGCCAGACGGGAATTCAGGATAAAGAAACGGCACTCAGTCTGCATAACAAATGACATCATTTTGAGAGAAGTACTGACAACTCAAGTATTAGTATAAGAACTGATTCCCACCTCCCAATCCTGTATGTTCAGTTTCGTTCATGGAGACAGTAGGTGTTACCATGACCTCAACCTAGCTATTCTGTTATAGTGGTCTATAAAGCCCCAAAGGGATGCAGTATAAAGTTTTCAAAAGGCATCACCTATGTATATTCAGATAGTTACAACTTCTCCAGTATTACCTTAGATTCAGAAAGAGGATGGGAGGAGGGGAAGAGCAGATAGGAGTCACACAAGGTTAAAGAATCTCAGCTGCAAACTATCAAAAACTCTGATCAGGAAGAAAAGTAATCGAACATTGGCAAATACCTCGCCTGAATGAGGAAATAAAAGACATTCTTTCTCAAATTTGAGCCAACACAACACAACACTCATCTATTTTCTTTAATAACCAAGAGTAATTTTAAATAAATATAGGTTTAAACTTTACTTGGCTGTCTCCTTGTGACTGCAAGAGTAAACTCTGACTTGCATGTAATCATTAGCTGTTTTGCATTGGATATTGATATTAGGGGGAAAAAGGAAAAAAGAAACATACTGACTCATACTTCACATTGTCACTTCAAAAAATAATCTCAAACTGAGGTTGATGAAAATAGATATTATTGAAAGAAAACAGGGTTAAATTACCTCTGATTCATGATATGGTATTCCATTCCAGCAGATAATATCCAGGACATGATATGTGGCTAGACGCTCATCATAAATACAGTCAAGGATGGAGAATGTGCCCTTTCTTCCAAGAGCAGAGGGTCTACTTGTTGCAGGACTTCCACCAGGCAAGAGAGAAATGAATGTATTCACCGGAATACCTGCTTTGCTGTAGACCCGAGTCTTGCCCTAAGGCACCTCAAGAATTCAGCATCCAAGGTGCAGAAGTTTAACTAATTAAACAACTTGAAAGACTTACTCGAGAGGATATGACTAGGGACCTTTTTCCAACAGGGCAGGGAACCAGCAACCAGTCCTGCTCAAGTTCTTCTGGCACTTCAATAAGCCACTCAGAATACATGAGCTGATCTTGGTGTCGCCTCTGTCTACGACGAATTGGGGCGGTATCCATCGATTCAACTTCCACTTCTCCCCTTTCCTCCATGGTATCATCATCTGAAGACTCCTCCAGTGCCAGCTTTCTTGCAAGATTTGCATTATTGAAGCGATTGCTATAAGTGAGCACAAGGAAAATGTAAGATTCCTCAAGCTGATTGTTTACCAGCACAATATGGAATGTCTCAACTAACTCCTTTTGTCGCTGCAGAATCTCTTTTCTCCTCTCCTCCTGTGAACGCTTTGGGGTCTTCTTATAAAGACTGAATCGTGGATGAGGGGCTGCAGTGCTGTTCTCAGCATTTGGGTCAACAAGCACACCAGAAAAACTTGCTGCTAATTCCTCCATTGCTTCTCATTACAATTCTAGCATGGCAAAACACTCACCTGATACACATTAATATTACACTACTTCAATGTAAAAGTAATGGGTTGGATAAAGATGAACTAAAAAAATCCCAAGCTTGCATCAGCTTCACTAAGTGTGAAATGGGATGATAGAAAAAATCAAACTCAACTCTAATTACAAGTACTTTAGCCCATATGCACAAGCAGTTTAAGGACTCATGGAGTTTCTAAAGAAAACTCACATTGAACACAAAGAACCTATTTTTTTTACCATTACATTCAACATACTGTAACACATTAATGAAAATGGGTATCAGCTACCAGTACTCTACACAAACATCCAAAGTAAGAATCATTTCCTAATATTCCCAAACAAGTTTTAGCCTCTTGAAATAATTCCAGTTGGAGGTATGGGCATAGTAGTCTCTCATGTCAGGGTCCCACCAGTAGTCTTTGGGGACAGTCTTAAAGACAGGTTCATTTTTCCATTTTCCAACCTCCCATCCACCGGGATAGTCAGCCATCACCTTTTCCTCTTCCTCCATATTCTTACGTATCTGCTTCAGGTACCTAAATGCAAAGGGTGTGTTGGAACTAGGTTCCTGAGATACAATTCATAATGGTTTTTGGAAAAGAGAGAACTTACGCTCGATCACTCTCAGCAAGCATGAGAGGTTCGATTGCTAACTGCATACCTCGTTTCTCAACATTCTCTTGCCTATTAAAGAAAAGACCCAATTCAATCTCTCAGAATCTTAATTGATCCAAATGTAAGTTGACAGGAGTCATCTGCACTCACGCTACTTCTCGCTTATTGTAGATATAGAGCTTTCCTCCAACCACCATCGCTACTCCATAAGCAGCAAGAGCCCTCCACCCTGAAATTGATTTAGGGATACCATCCATCAACTTTTCATTAAAGAATAGAAACAATACACATCATCTTTAGAATTTACTTACACTTCCTATTAGAGACACCCCAATAAGTCAGTTAAAAATGCCCACTCTATTGCAGCACCCTATACATTCACCTTCCCCAGGCATACTTTATGCCCCAGCTTTTATCATCTAGGGGAGCCACATAACCCTGAATATAATACTTGAAACCCTGTTCCCCTCTTGCAATGCAACAGGATCAGGACAGCATTCATGCATTGATCAGAAGCAAGTGAATCCATAAGAAGCCCTCTGTTCCTCCCATTCTATATTTGTTCACCTGTAAGCCTACATGAGTAGTCACAGACATGTCCTATGCTAGCCTGGGAACAAGGAACCAAGCTTACACCTTGTGTGGATAGAAAAGGCAAATTTCAAGAAACCTGAATAGGCCACTGTGGTAACTTGGCTTCAAGGAATTCTTAAACGTTGCTTGTCTTCTTTCACTTATCACAGCCTCAGCTTACATTATTCTTTAACTGCTTTGGAATATTGTATTCATCCATTCAATATAGGTATAACAGGCGTAAATTATCTTAAAAACCATTACAATCATACTTCAGCCCCCACCAGCTTCGTATGCATGCTAGCCAAGTCATATCAGCAATATTTTTTTACTAATTTTTCTCCTGAGAGAAAATGAAAGATTTTGAAAACACAATAATTGATTCCCCATGTAGCACCTAGTACAATACAACACCTCTGTTGGTCATTATCGATTTTGGGGCTATATTGAATTAATTTCAATATGCTAATGGCTACAAAACTGAAATCTCCAGACAAATTGACTAAGTGGATGTGAAACTTACACTGCCATCCTTATTCCCCTCCAATACTCCAAATGGGAGTTTGCCTAATGCTTTAGTTTTGAGAATCAACTTTAGTCACTTCCTGTAACATTGCCATTAGCTTCTTTTCCAAACAACTGTGCAGCAAAAGGGTCAAGTTACACTTATGGTGAAGATTTGTTCTCAGGAAGAAGTTGGTGATACAGGTTGGTGGTATACCAAGTGATGGTATATTGAGGGTTACCTGTACAGATGTCTTGTGCATGAATATACATAGGAACATTGCCCTGTATAATGCTCAAGCATCATCAAAGACTATTTTTCAAAAACATAATGGTGTATCTAAACTCTTTACAACAATGGATCTTGCCAAGTATGCTATAGCCTTTCTATTAGTAATGAACATTCCACTCAGCATTTTTTTATGAAAGCCAAATAATTTGATTTCTTTCAATAATGCCATGCTGATACACACACCCCAGGATATATATTCATTTCTATTGATGAAATTCAAATGCATCATCCACTGCAACAAAACATGAAGAAGTCTAGATAAGGCATCCTAACCCAGCAGAAGAAACAAAAGTGGCCAAGGACTCCATCTTTTCATTATTCAAGCATTGCATAGCATGGCATTTTCTCGTCTGATTCATAACTCTAGTAGACCCTGTTGGTAATTATGATTATTCTAGTTCAGGAGTCGATGACCTGACACTCAGGTAAAAGTTTGGAACAGGGTCCAGAGGTATAGATCTCAACACGCTTTTTCACCACTTTGTTTCTATCTTACTGAGATCTTTAAGTTTCTTAAATTCTTGTGATGGTGGGCAGCCTCCCTTAAAGTTGAATCTCTTTCAACGACTAATAACAACCCTACCCTCATCACACATGCCCACACCCTGGAGGATTATAAACTTTTGGGCTTTGTCGTTCATTGTCCAATGATTGTCAGCATTAGATAATAATAATTTAATCAAATAGACCGTTTCTCACACACAGATCTAACGCTGGGCCTGTTTGGGTTACCTTAACATTAGAAATAAAAATGTAATCAATGCTGTTAACTTATGACGGTGGATTGTCACGTGTGCAACTTACCGAAAAGGTATTTCCTCATTGGTATACGGTCCCACGTGATTCTTGAGTAGCCTCCAGGAGGAGGCATGTCCTGTGTATATCCCATTTTTGACATGATTGTATTTCTAGCGGTCTAATCTCGCCAGGAAACGGTTGGAAATTCACGAAGGTCAAGTGGAGCCTATGCCTCCGTGGAGGCAGACATGTCAGATATAATTGCCACAGATGCTCGATCCCATTATCGCATCTCCACATAAGCCTTTTCTCTCCAACAGCTTTACTGATGAACTTCAACACCATTAGGAGGGGAAGGGGACTTAGTTTTCTCCCATAGAATGGATCTCCTACACCACACCTCACATTCACCCCACCAACGATCTGTCGTGTTTCATGAAAACTTTAAATTTTGTTCGCAGGCATTCACATCTCGCACGAAACACAAAACACGTTAAAGTCAATGATTCGTGGTGCCCCGTCGTAACGCACTCCAGAGGCTCACAGTTGTATGAGAGTCCGTGCATGCGGCCAGACCGTAGACGGACGGGGAGACTTCGTCCCTGAACCACGGAGAAACCCCATTCTCGCCATTTCCAAACCTTCACTTAGCTCTCCACAAGATGCGCTGCAGAGCTTCAATGAAACAGAACCTGACCAGCCTCGGAGACGGATGCTATTTTCATTCCACCTGGCTGACTTTCTATTCATCTGCCACATGTAACGCTTCGATTTTTCTCGGGACAAATTGGGTCCGTTACGCACAAATCCTGCACCAGATGGTAACATGAGAGGGACGGAAGCAACAACCCATCGTTAAAGCTTGAAGTCACATTTTAAAAAAAGCAATTTTAATTAAGTTATTTAAAGCCTTTGAAAATGTAGTCACGATTTGGGAACAACTGTCTGCATTGAGAGAAAAGATAGCTCTCCAGATTTACTTTCGATCGCTGTGGATCCAAGAAAAAAAATATATATATATCTGTCATTTTCAGGCAGGATAGTGCTCCTTCGCATCGTGCTAAACATGTGCAAGCGTATTTGAAGAATAACACTCCTGACTTCATCCGAGAAAATCAGTGGCCTCCCTGTCCTCCAAACTTAAACCCCCTCGACTACAGAACATGGGACGATTTGAAGGAGCTGGTTTATGCCGGATGCCCCGTTTACATCACTTGATGAACTGAAGGCTCGAATTGAGGAAGCGTGGCCTCTTGTCGATGACGACACAACAAGGAAGTCAATCAATCGATGGAAACAGCGTCTGTGAGCAGTCGTGGACCAGAATGAAACATCTCTTTGATTGGGGTCAGTCGCGCTTCTTTGCACAAACGCACTTTTGACATCACGCGGGAGAAAAACTTTAACTTGGGCAGTTGACACCAATTTCATTGAAAATATTATGATATTACCTGCAAATATTGGATGGGAAACCCTGTAAATACACCAAATATTTTTTGGGCCACCCGGTATTTAAAATCCAACATTCACATCTCGCCCTTCTTTTTAATGATTTTCGTTGAGCCTTGTTGAAGGAAATCAATATTGTTAAGTTTCACAGATCTGCACGTGCCAAATTTGCATGGAAGTAATACATTCCATCTGTTCCTTCAGTCATTATTCTTTCGTTCTTACAACTTGCACAAGTTTCAAATCACACGATTATATTATGTGTTTCATGCTTTTTTTATTGCTAAGCTGCATAATTCAAATCTTCTTTCATGATTTAATCAGTAAGCTTGGAGATCCATTAACATTAAATAATCATAAAACACTTCTCAAAAGCACTCTTGAGAAATTCCACGAATCGAGTTCACTCCGTCCCTGCAACGTTTTCCCGCCGAAGCGATCTCTTCGCCATGGCATCTCGCCGAGAATTTTTTCTCATCAGTCAGCAGTGACACGAATCCTAATCCGACGGAGTTTTGTCACGTTCCAAGGTTTAGGGGGGGAAATGGACGCTTTTCCCTTACATCGTTAATTATCGGTGGATGATAGTTACTCGAAACGTCCTTTCTAGCGCCTCGTCGATTCTTATTTTTTCTTTTCAGATCGAAGGAAAGAGAGAGAGAGAAGATGAATCCCTTTCAACGTCCCTTCAGACCGGTTGCAGCTGGAATAAAAATGGCGCTAATACGCGCCACTCATGCAAAGCAGGAAAGGAGTTCCCAAGCTCTAACTTGAAGCCACGTTCCCTCTTTCAAGCTTTTCTCAATGCAGACAAAAGCTAATTAAACAGCGATGCGAGGGAACCGATGCCTCAACGCCAGTCCGAGATTCACCTCGCCTTTCGACCCCGTCGAGCAGATTCGAGTCGATCTCATCCCCGAATTTCTCCACGAAGAAAACCCGATTAGTTCCCGCAGTGAGGTCGTTCAGCCCGAGCAAATCAAATCGCTTTTCGTACCGGCTGAGAGATGGAGAAGACCACGGCGTGCAAAATCAAATCAACCTCTTGCTTCCTCTCCACGCAATCTCCAAATTAGAACTCGTGCACTCGACGGAACGAATCCAGCCGGTCTGCAGCGAAATTAAATTTTCGACCTCGCGACTCCGATGAGCGAAAGGGCAAAGTTACGAAGCGAATCGCCTTCCCCCGACCTTTCCCCCCTCCACCACCCCCTCTCGTCGGTCGGAAGGGTGGGACACGATCGAGCGATTTCTTTTTCGAGAGTGCAGAAGAACAGTCGGAAGACCTCGGGAACGGAGCCGACGCTTTTCCCGCCCGAGGCCGGGAGAAGATGCCATAGCATGCTTTAGAGGCTGCGATCGAGGAGTTCTCTGGTGAGCGCGTTTGGCCTCTGGAGACCTCACATCCTTTTTCCGTATGCATGCTCATGCACCGCATGGAGACGCTTGCAACGGGACAGAGTCACGTCGAACCGGTTCCGACGGGTTCGCAGCGAAAACAAATTTACTGGAGGTTCCCGCTAGGTGGCGGGAAGGTGTCCAGCTGCCTCCTCGTGGATGCTCGTGGGGAGGAAAGGGGAAAAGAAAATTGATTCCTTCGTCGTCCAAACCTAAGTTTCTTTTCCGGAAGAAAAATAAAACGGAACCGTGATGGTGCTCATTTGGGGAAGACCCGGACTTTAAACTTTCCGAATTCTATTTCCCTCGTCTTTCTTCGACGGTGTTTATAAATATTATCATTAGACCTCGAGATTAATTCAGAGGCGACTTATTTATTTTTAAAAGAAAACTGACAGCCAAAAGAATTGCCGAAAAATTCCACGAGTGTGGGCATGAAAAAAAGATGGTTTACGTGCGATGACGGTTTCTGCCTGCATTCTGCCGACTCGAAAGGAAAAACTTCGTCGAAGCCCGAAGTTGAAATAAGGGCCGGCCTGAGATTTACGGGATCCGTATCGGTCGCAGATGGGCGCCGAGGAGATCATCTTGCCTTTCCCGAATCGTGCCTTCGTCACGTTTTGCAAGCGGCCCTTTTTCCGGAGAAATCCTCGATCGCAGATCGACTTCGTGCCCGGGGTTCCATAGGAGACGACGAGATCGCGGTCGTCTCGCTCGAATATCCATCCGGAAATGCGCGGGGGAAAGTGCGGCTCGGAACGACGTGACTCGGATGACAACCGACGACCGACGACCGACGAAAAAGCGAGATCCAGGCACCGCCACGAACGCGAGACCGCTGCCGCTCGTCTTTCGGCACGTTTCGCGGGCCGACGGCGAGTCGACGTCGTCTCGGTCCGCCCCGAGGAAACGTCTCGAATCTTTTGCCCGATCCCCTAAGGGTTCCCAACCGAGGGCAAAACGATCCTTTATCACCGGCTGGGATCCACTCGCAATTCGCCTTTTCCCTCGGGGACGGAGGAAGTCTAACGACCTGGATCGGACCGAGTAGCGCGAAGGAAAATATCAATTATCATACATTCCTTAATTATTAATGCTTACCGTAGGATGACCTTCCCTTCCGGTGTTGAGCCATTGGAGTAGTACGACACCTCATCTCATCTTTTACCGTCTTTTCTCATCAGTGCCCTCTTTCCTTTGTTTCCTCCTCTTCCCCCCCCCACACCTGAGACCATGTTTTTCTTCCGATTCCTTATTTTCAAAAGAGACAACTTTCTTTTTATTGGCATTCGGGCGATCGGCAATACCGAGTAAGTGCCAATACCTTCTTCTGTGAGGGGGGGGGGGGAAGGAAAATAAGATTTCGGAAATTCATGTGACCATTACCTACCACTAACGCTGCTATTTACGAGTCCATGGGCTATTTATCGTACGCGCCCCGAATTTCGTGCTTTATCATTATTCCCCACGGGATTCCCAACGATCCTCGTTGGAACGACTACTGCCGAATCCACTTCTTAACGTTAACAAGAAGTCGAAAACCCTTCTCGAACGGAACAGGGCGAGAACCGGTCGGTATCTCACCGAAAAGGCCGAGATTCGCGTTCCCGCCGTCGCAGACGGTTTACCGGATCTGCGACCGGCTTTCCGGATCTTCGACCGGCTTTCCGGAGGAAGGCAGGAACTTTAATCCGACGACGACACGAGGATGAGGAGATTTTTTTTTTT